CGGTCGGCAATCTCCTTCTCCTTTCTCTCATTATGCCGAGCATATGCATCATAGGAGATTTTTGAATTGTATATATAAATGTGTAAATATGAACTCCTGGATGTGTTTTGTGACGTGTTTATGAACAAAGAAAAAGTGGTTTTGATTAAATATCCAAGGGTTATAAGTGAAAAGAATGGTTTTTATTAGGTTTTGAAGTGTTATGGCCGAAAAACTCTTGTTTTGGGTAGAAACGTACATGGGAGGTTACACGACCGTGTGGGAGGCCGTGTGACCTACTCGTTTGTAAAAAAAAAAAAAAAATCCTAATCTTTCTAATATGAGGTTTTAACATTTCTAAGTGATATTTTGTGATTAATTGAGTTTTCTATAACTAAAATGGCTAAGTTATATGAAGTTTTTGTAAGGAATCGAGTTAAGGTCGCTACAATAAGTTTCTATCGGACTTTGAAGAGAATAGTATATCATTTATAATAAATTTATCCTTTCAAATAATAATATATTTTCTCTTTTTGAGCCTTTAAATTAGTCACTTAAGCAATAATATATTGACTCTTCTAGAACATTCAATAGTTATCTCTTCAAGTAATAATATATTCACTCTTCTAGAGCCTCGAAAATTTATCTCTTCGGATAATAATATAATCGCTCTTTTAGAGTCTTAAAAATTTATCTCTTTGGGTAATAATATAATCGCTCTTATAGAGCTTTCTATTACATTGATATTATCGTATATAATATTAACATAAAATAAATAAATAAATTTCTCATAAACACAAACAAACAAATAAATAGTAAAATAAAATTATAGCCATCACTATACGATATAAATTATAAGAAATATAAAAAATTTTATTTAAAAATAAAAAAACTAACAAGTAATTAATTTCAATTATCATTATTTTGATATATAAAAGTGGCCTTCATATTTTACTCTTTATTTTTTAAAACTTGACAAGGCTTAACAAGGTGCTTTGATGTATGACAAATACATGATCAATATTCATTCATTCCACATCTATAATATTTATTTTTTTAAATACCGACGTTATCTATTTTTATTTCTTTTTTTTTCATAGTTATCCACTTCGGTAGTGAGATGTAATATGATGGTCATCACGATTATAATGATAATTATTTTGACTACGTCCATGACTATGATCACATCTTCTTTCATGTCTAAAATTGTTATAAATTATCACATTCATTTCGGGGAATGGAGTATACCCAATTGATCGAGATTTATTCTTTTTCATCAATAGCTTGTCATTTTATTTAGCTGCTATGAACAAGTATGAAATTGATTCAAAACATTTCTTAAACTTCTTTTCTTGATATACTACTACAAGAGCATATTTGAGACATGAAAAGTAGATGATATTAACTTAGCATCAAGCACTCATGATCAATAATTCTTGTCCAAAATGTCAAGGGCCACAAAATCAAGTCTTGTGATGGTTGATATGATATCATTAAAATTGTATATTACAAAGTATAATAAAAACGTTAGGAAGTAAAGAATAAATATAATAATAAAATTTAAATAAAAACAAACATAATAATAAAATTTGAACTTTTCAAATAATATATATTAAATTATTAGATTCTAAATATTAAATTATTAAAATTTTTCAAATGTATATTCTATGTATCATTAAATTTAAAATACATAATAAATTAGATAAATACCTCTTAATGATCTAAATAATAATTTAGATCCAATTGGTAGAGCACTTGTGCAAAAGAAATCCAATGGTTGAAACAATTGATTAAGTGTTTTAGTAGATACAGATTTCATGGTCTATTATCTCGATTGGTTAGAACTTCATGCTGATAATGTGTTATAAAAGAAATAGAAATAATAGGAGAATTGAAGAAAAAGATAACAAGAAAATGAAATCGAACACAAGTGATAAGAACTTCAAAGTTTCTCTTATTCTCTCTAGAAAACTTGTACACCAACTAATAAATAATCAAACCTATTTATAGGTTTCAAATTCAAGAAGAGAATTAGAATGGATTATGAATAAACAATAGCATTACCCTTTTAAATTCTCATAGTGAATAATGAATTAAATCATATTAAAAATCATAAGTAATGGCGATATGAAAAATAGATGAATATGATGATGAACATTCATTATTTCATAACATAAAGTACTTTTTGAATCCATTAACTTTCAAATTATTAAAAAAAAAACTAAAATATCTAGGGTTTTCACTTGTTCATATATTGTAACATTTTTGTTTTATAAAGGTCGGCCGACGAGTCCAACGTCTGGAGAAGTAGGCTCAACCGGGCTCGGCAATAGGCTTAGGTAGGCCTAGCTTGGCTCACGAGCCTGCACGGACAATCCCGTTTGCTTTTTTTTTCCCCTTTCAATAATTTATTTTTATATTTTTTATCATAAAATTAAATGTGAAAAGATTTAAAAAAATCGTTATTTTTTTTAGTTTTGCATATAATTAGACGATAATAGAATATATATGATATTTTAAAAAATTTTAGTTTGAACATATATATATGATTATATTATTTTTATTATTTAAAATTTATTTCTTCAATTCTTTGTTTCTTATTAAAATTCTCATCAAACTAATTTTTTTATTTTTTATATAATTTTATTTGTTAATAAATTTGATTTTTTTATATATTGATTTTGAAATAAAATTAAGAACGTGATTGTTTTATTTTTTAAAAATATATTATTATAATTTATATAATTAATTATTTTTATGATTTTTAAATTTTGAGTAACGTAGTTGCATATATAAATTCTAATGTGTGTGTGTGTGTGTGTGTGTGTGTGTGTGTGAGAGAGAGAGAGAGAGAGAGAGCTAATAGTGTGTTTTAGATGATTTAACTTAATTTTTTTCAAAATAATAATCAATTAAAAATAATTTAACTCAATTTTTTTTAAATTAATAATTAGTTAAAAAATTCAAAAGTTTTATTTGGTTATATATATATAATCAGAATTTATAGAAATCAATTTTATAATAGTTTTCATTTAAATCTATTTAGTTTGATATATTTCATGCAATTTCAATAGGTTTTTTTTTGTATATTTTTTAAAATCTAAGAAATTTTTTGTTGATTTATAGACATTAACCTTTGGATATTAGAAAAAGGACACTTTTCATTTATGCATAAAATGTTGAGCAATTTAAATTTTAACATTGTTAGAAATATTCCATGGAAAAGTTCATTTGAATGAAATTTCAAAATTCATTATGAGTCAATAAATTTAATACTTATCTAATTTTTTTTCTACCTTAATGCTAGAAGCAAATTTTTTTATTTAAAAATTTATCAAGCCATAAGACTTTTCTATTTTAAAAATTAGCTTTCCATCTAAAATTTAGAAATGAAATGCTAAATAGGCTAATTTTGAAGTCACAATTTTCCTTTCTTCAATATGTATAGCATCAATTTTAAGGTTGAGATTTTAGTGATAGGAAAATAAACTTCTCTCTTATAAATTTAGGAAATAAATGCTCCAAAATTTAAATTTTCAATTATAAACATTGTTTTATATTATATAGATAATATAAACTTTATGAAGTGAAATTTTTGTTAGAGAAAAACTTCATCAAATTGATTGTAGTACATCTCTATTTCAACAAGAATTAACTAAAAAAACTAAACTATTTTTTATAAATGGATCTGCAACAATGAATGGACCTACTTACTTACTAGGTACGATACATATATAGTATTTTTCTTAGAAATTAATTATATCTACACATATAATATCAATTATTTGTTATTTATTTTTTTCATGTTCTAAAATATGTATTTATAAATAAAATAATTTAATTAATGTTTTGAAAGAACTTCTTAATTATTCAAATATACAATTTGATACTAATACTATAAATTTTTTTGTTAATAAATATATATAAATCAAATAAGTTCGCTTAATATATAGATTCGATTTATATTAATATCTAAAAACAAAACTTCCACTTGTATCGTACACCATATGAATCATTAACCATACATATATAATAATTGTCTAACCGCAACGTAGCACGAGTATCTAACTAGTAACAAAGAAAAGAACTATCCTTCACTATAAAATAACACAAAATCCGGTATTCTTTACAAATCACTCTCTTAATTATTAACCAAGTCCGAAACAAGTATAATGGTATTAAAAAAAAAAACTCTGACTGTATTTTGGTTTTAAGTAATTAAACATGATTTTTCTTGCTAAGACAATTGACAGGAATACCATACAAAGTTAAGAAAAAGAATTGGAAAACAAAACAGCAGCAAGGGGGCTGCGTAAAACAAGATTCTCCACACGAACCGCTGCTTCAAAACCTTTGCTACTGCAAACCTTAACCTTGTCAATAATGGTGTTCTCTTTAGGGATCATATTTGATCAATTCTTTCCCACTTTGATTTGATATAACTTCATCATCATCTTTTATTAAGCATAGCGGCAAGAAGTAGCCTCTTCTTAATCTACCAATTACACCTGGTTGTTCAGGAATTGTTACCAATACTGTCCAAGATGTCTATGCACCATACTCCATCATCACCCACAATTTGATGCCATAAAACACACCACGAGAGATGCACAACCATTCTCTAACAACTCCCAAAATGCTTAACCACTATTGATAGATATTGGCATCTCCCGCAATTTCTCCTCAGCCAAATCAAAAGCAAGAATGACAAAACAACTTCCAATACTAACACGCCACTGAAGAGTTCCGTTGCAAAAGGCTGACGGTATGGGATAGTTGCTATTAGCAAGGCTAGCTATATAGCGGCGGTTACAAAGGTCTGGGAGACTGGGACGGTTCTTCAGGAGTTGGGTCTCAAAGAGTAAACTTGTAGTCTGGTTTCATGCAGTAAATCGGTGGAATTTGGAGTAATAAAGGAATTATTTGTGGGAGTAGCATGCAATTGTGATCCTCGCAATCTTGTAATCATTAAAGGATGAATCATAACCAAAGCCCTGTCTACAAACTAACCTTAACCCACATTAAACAAAATGACGGCGACATGGTAATGTTAATGGTAAGGGTAATGTCTTGCAGTATTGAATCCATAAAAACAAGCGACCACTGCGATCATCAGCTAGGCAAACCATGCCATCAGAAGAACCCACTATTGTTGTTATACGATATTGAGTCTTCAAGAGAAAATCAAGATTGACAAATGCATCTCTATCATCTAACGATTTGTCATAGTCCAAGGAGTCAAAGTACAGATCGGAACTATGAGAGGATACAAGGACCTTTTGGTTCGTTTTTTGGGTCTTGATGTGCTCGTTTGACACACTGTTCAATACAATAAAGACGGGATCAAATATTAACGATGACAACCATCATTTTGATACATACCGGAATCGTACAATGCACAGACTCGACAGGTAAATTTAAGAGTATTTCCACGTTGACGTCTCGAGGGATCCTTTGCTTAGCCATCGCTGCTTAATTACTATATTCTTGCAGTACATGTCTTCCCTAGCTAGGCCAGGAAGGTTTTTTCTTTTTACTCTGGGATTTTTTAAAATAAATTAATAGTATTTAATTAGACAATAGTTAATTAGTTGTTACTAATTGCTCATTTTGCTCCTAAAGTCTAGTCTTTTTTTATTTTTTATTTGTTCTTATGTTTAATTAAGTGGTATTTTATTTTTTCACCCACTTAATTTTAATTGTCCAAACATGAAAAAAAATGGAATGTTTTTTAGACTAATTGGTGACCGTAAATTGATACTTCGAACTAAATTTTTTTTAATTCAAGTACATTATTATTTTTTAGTTTGTAATCAAATCGATCGATCTCATTGATTAAATTTCAAACATTTCACACGTGATGCTAATGTGACTCAATAAATAAAAAACACGTGAACCTTGTTTTTTTTGCCTACCAACTTTATGGAGTGAAATTATAAATTACCTCCACATCTAAATTAAAACAAAATACGATTTTGAACAAAAAAAAAAAAACCCTAAATGAAATAATCAAATTAATCAACAAACAAAGAGAGAGACATTTTTAACTGCAGATCTTTGTTGAGAGAGAGAGTGTGTCTCACACTATTTCTAAGGTGTGAAGCACTTCGATTTACTTGTCTACACATTCTTTGCAATTTCGAAGCTTTTTAAGGGGTGAGGGCTCTGGCACGGTATAGGTGGGATTAAGTGGACTTTGATGTTGCTGTTATTACATAACTTTTTAAACTTCCGCCTTGTCAAACCCACTTGCTTTAGTTTCACAGAGACAGACCATGCAAGGATCTAATTTTTTAATCTCACCATTTTGCTTGTCTATTCTCGATCTTTCCTTTCTCTTCGAAAAAAAAGAACTCTAGATTGAGAATGACCCCTATTGCATTAGGAGAGTGAGAGTGGAGAACGATGGTTCCATTTTTGCCGCTTCTGAGATTTTGGAGATGAAAGAAGGTGATAATATGGGATGATAATATAGGGAAAAGAAAGTGATAGCTATTGATATTTTATTGGGTAATGATGTTTTATTAGTTTGAGGATTCTTTTCGAATCTTTTGTTTATCAATCTTAGAAATGTTCACTAAAACATTAAATTTAATTAGCGATGGTTTAAATGTGAAAAAACCGTCACAAAAATGATTTTACGATGCTTTAGCGACGGTCATTGGACCATCGTTAAAAGGCTCATTGTTAAATTTTTGCGACGGTTTTTGGCCCGTTGCCAATTTAGCAACGGACAAAACCGTTGCAAAAAAAAAAAAACCCATTGTTAGATATCGTTATAAATCCTTGCAATATTCGCAACGGTTTTGTAAACCCTCGATAAGCTCGTTGCTTAATAGCGACGGACTTGCGACGATCTTTGATAGTTGCAAATTTGCTTTTTAGCGACGGTCTAGACCGTTATTAAGATCGTCACTAATTGTTTAAATAATTTTTTTCAGCCGATATAAAATTAGCAAAAATTAATAATTTTAAAATGATCAAAATCTACTAAAATATCTTAAACATAATATTTTAAAATACCAAATGTATTATTATTAATTGTATTAAAACATCGCTAAATATTATTCGACTATTAAATAACCGAAAACGAGTACATAGGTTGTAGTTAATACAAGAAAATGTGAAAGCTAAAAGAAATTAATGGCCGGGATCACTCGAAGGTTGGGTGGAGTCATTCGAAGGTCGGGTGGAGTTGTCATCGGTCTCGGGAACGACGGATGAACTACCACCATGGTGAAAATGCCGTATGAACATCTACTACATTTGTGACATCATCGTAAATTACTCGTCAACTATCTCTCTCAACTCATTTGTCATATCCAACAATGATGTGACACGATCCTTTAGCGTGTTGACGACCCATAGGTTATGGATATCTACCGTATTTGCGGATGTTTGATCTTGTACTTCCTTAAGTTGTGCCTCGTCGGCGGCATTAAATCGAGAAGTAGTAGAGCTTGAGGCTGCATTGACGTTAGAGTAATAGTGAGATGTGTGTGACTTGAGTCCGTACATCCTCTTCCTCCTACTATCTCCTCCACCAACAGACCCTTCGAAATATCTCACTAATGTTGGGTCCGGTCGATTCGGTCTCTCCCGATCGTCGGCTAGCAACTTCTTCCTCATTTATTAATCTTTGTACGATCTCTCGCATAATTATGAAACACGTCATATTAAATACGTATGTTAAATAACGTTATAAATTAATAAATATGAAATAATGTTATAAACTAATAACTTACGTCGATAACCCTCGACCGTTAATCGACGAAGACAAACCGATTATCAATCTTTCTCTAATGAGTCCTCAAGAAAACCTCGTGATGATCAAGTTCACAACTCAACACATTACGCCGAAACCATTTATAAATAAACGTAAATGTATTAAATATACTCAAATATTTAATTAATTATTTTGGATATATATATATATACCATGCGTATGGTGTGCTATCTATGACCGATCGATCCCCTCGTATGTCTAAAAGGACCGGCTCCGATGCCACCGAGTCTCGCTCCTACGGTTCCGTGCTGCCATCTCGGATCGAGCAATGACTTGGGTTTCACCCATTTAGTAGTCCATGCATCCCATAGTTCTCGTGAGATAAATGTTGGCTTCGGTTTTTTCCTTAAATGATAAAAAAAGTCAAAATATCGCTTCCGTGTGAGACTTTCTCATGCTTTCTTAACTATGCTCTCGTTCAAATCATCATCCCACTTAAATGATTTCTACAAGAAAAATAATAATAATCATTACTAAATTTATTTGCATATTATTTTTTATTATTTAATTAAATATTAAATAATGTAATCAATTAATTTTAAAAATTAGTACCTTAAACTCTTTCGGGTAAAAGTCTTTTATCTCTGGACTCATTTTCTTCCACATCCATCTAGAAATATGAACATACTCCCGGAATATCTTAGCGATCATGCGAGAGAAAACATTAGAGGGATATAACCTATAAAAAATAGACAATAATTAAATTAATAAATAAATGAGTACATAATAACGGTAATAAAAAAATTTGTCATAAAATTAAACATAAATCGTACTCATTGCGACTAATGACAATGACCCTAACTCGCGGGTCGACTCGTAGATATGATAGGTTCTAAAGCCGATTGACATGGGACGTTGTATGGTGGAACGTGTTTAGGAACGGAACCGTTGTTCGATGTGATGACGAAGGCACCGACAACAATGAAGGAAAAGATGAAAGAGGACGTGAAGGTCCATAATAAGGAAATGGCTAAGGCCGAGACATGTCGGGCATCGAACGGTATTTCGAGGGGACACCGGAAGAGTGGTATGGAGGCATGTACGTAGGGGGACCCATCCGACCATGAACGGAATGTGAATGGTGTCTACGTCCATGATCACTCGTTTGACTCAATATCCGAACCATGACCCCTACCTCGAGCCATTATGACCTACACATTAATTATTATATTCATTAGTATTTAAATAAAATATGAATTTATAATAGATACTAACATATAACATTCAAATTAATATAAATAATTTGAAATATATTTAAACAATAATAAAACATAAATATTTATTTAATTAAATCTTACCTTTAAAAAGTACAAGTTAACTATATAGGTCAACAAAACCATAAACCTAATTTTTTTCTTTTTTGACAGAACATGGATAGTACCACGGAGATTTATTGAAATAATGTGAAAAATTACAATGGGGGGACAAAACCATCCTAGCCTAATAACTTTGGAGGACAAGGTTGCCTAAACCCTTAATTTTGTATTACAATTACATAAAATCCATGTGCATAATTTTTCAATTGAATATAAAATACAATATAACATAATCTACTAGGATATACCATATTATCGCTAATCGGTATCATGATCATCATTGTCACATTCTTCATCTAAGTTTTCCACAACATCGGTTTCAAACTCGGATTCATTTTGAAAATTAATTTCACGTCCTTCCAAATCTAATAATGCTCTAGTATGATCAATCAATGATCGGCCTTCATCATCATCAATGTGGATGACATTGTGTTGGCCTTCCATTTTGTTTTCTTGAAAGGGTTCGATATTTGTTTGGTCGACGATAATAGACAATTCTAGCACATCTACCTTCAACCTTGGTTTGACCTTACATACCGCCAACCAATCGTTCTTATACGTTTACATGTAAGATATGTTACATAATACACCCGATGCACTTATGATGCTAGTATGAAGGGATCGGATCTATTTGAATACTCGCGACTATAGACCTCAACTAGTTCATAATGATCATGAACTCTTGTACCAATGCCGGGTGTCATATCATACCAATCACATTTGAACAAAATGGTTTTCTTTATTGGTAAGGCTGGATACTCAAGTTCGAATATGTCAATCAACCTACCGTAGTTGTCATTTTCCACCATACCGTAGCTAACTCCTTTTACACACACTCCACTACACATTGATGCTCTCTCCGAACCACGAATATCGGTGTGAAACTTATACTCGTTTATAATGTATCCCGTTTACGACTTAGCCGTTCGTAATGGTCCTTTTGCTAGATCTTTAATGTAATGATCTGTTACGGTATTAGGTTGTGCTCGACTTGTCCGTAAAGACCGGGTTAATTATAAGTTAATGTTATTATAAAATTTGATAAAATCATTTTATGAATAATTAATAACAATATTTACTTTGTAATACTCACATATCGATGGAACCATGATGCAAATTCATTTTGAAGTCAAAAATCAACCTCGTTTTTTGATATGTCGGGATCACTTTCATATAGTTGGTCGATAAAATATCTAACGAAAAAATATTGTTATTATATGTTTTAAAATTGAATGATACTTAATGAATAAATGTATAGTAATATTTGACACTTATAGCACTTACTCCGTGTAAGATGTCACCTCATCATAGTTCAACGAGAATGTAGGTATGCGATGCATTCTTTTCTTGATCCGTCGGGACATATGATCTTGCTCGACCAAGAGGTCTACCTTTAGTTTTGAATATTACAAGCGAGGCCTTCAATATCATCATTCAAGCTCTCGATCATACTCAAAGTTTCTAGGCACTTTTCAATGTCTAGTGTGTACACGAGGCTAGAAGTAATATGAACGGAATATGGAAGCTTCCTCAACTAAATATGCGTTGCATATTGACCCTTCGACTCTAGCTTTGTTCTTAACATTATTTTTTAATTTGCGAAGGTACCTACAATAATATTGTGAGTGCATTATACTTAACAAAGATTTTACATAGTTATTTAATAACGGATGTAAAAAAAAAAAAAAAAGCATATATTTTTACCTTTCAAATGGATACATCCATTGATATTATACGAGTCCTGCTATTTTTGCTTCATACGCCAAGTGTACGAGAAGATGCTCCATGGAGTCGAAAAAACTAGATGGGAAAATACACTCTAATTTGCATAGGATTATTGGTATATCTTTCTCAAGACAGGTCATATCTTCAACCTTAATCATAGTAGATGTCAATTCCTTAAAGAATAAGCTAAGCTCGGTTAGTGATTGTCATACATTTGTTGGTAACATGTCACGAAATGCGATAGGTATTAGCCTTTGCATAAATACATGACAATCATGACTTTTCATGCTATGTAATCCGAGGTTATTCATATTGACATACCTTGCCAAGTTAGAGACATATCCATCTAGAGACTTTAGTTGTTTAATCCATTATAGTAATTGTATTTTTTGTTTTTTGTACGAGTGTAACAAGCTTTTGGATATTTTCTAGAATTTTCATCTATTTCTAATTCGGGCCGTCGATAATATAGCTTTAAGTCTTCTCTAGAATTTACATTGTTTTTTGTTTTTCCTAACACATTCATAATTGTATCAAAACACATTATCGAAAACATTTTTATTAATGTGCATCACATCCAAATTATGTCGGATTAGATTAGAACTCCAATAAGGTAGGTCCTAGAATATACTACGTTTTTTCCAACCATAAATTTAGATACATTATTGTTATACTCATCGGATCCCTCTTTCGTTAATTTCATCAACCCCCAATTGTTTAAGTCTTGCAAAATTTCAATTCCAAACTTTATCGAGGAGCAATGTCTCGTAACAACCGAATTTCGCTTGAACGCATTCCTATTTCGTTTGAACGGATGGCTTAGTGGGAGAAACGTTCGATGGCAATCAAACCATGAAGTTTTTATATCGTTTTTGAGGCCGAAAGCATCGAATTTTCCATACAATATGGGCATGCTTGTCTTACCCACAGTACTCCAACCCGATAACATTAAATATGCAAAAAAAATCACTAATTGTTCACATGACAACGACTCTCATCCGAAAATTATATTTACGGGACACATCATAAGTAAGAGCATCTACTTTTCACAATTCAACCAACTCTTTAATTAAGGGTTGTAAGTATACGTCTAGATTGATTTTAGGGTTTTTAGGACCGGAGGCAATAACGAGTTAAGAACATATATTCTTCTTTCATACATTTTCATGGTGGCAAATTGTAAGGCATTACAATCATAGGCCATGAAGAATATTGTTGTCCGCATTTACCAAAAGGCTTCAACCCATCGGTGCAAACACCTAATCTAACATTCCTAATTTTTGATACAAAAGAAGGATGTGTTTGGTCAAAATGTCACCATGCAAAGGAGTCCGAACAATGTTGCATGATGTTTGGCTCATAGACATGTTGCGCATGCCATGTCATGGCGTTAGCGGTGGCATTTGATGCATACATCTTTTGTAATCATGGGGTTATCAAAAAATAATACATCTTTTTGTAAGGTACATAAGTTTCTCTAATCGACCCCCGCCTAGGATTTGGATATCGAGGATGATCACATATTTTATGAGTGATTCTCTCGTTGTCTTCAACCCGATAATTATGCAACCATTAATGCAATCGTGGATCTTTTCAACGGGTAAACCCATCATTTACATCATTTTTTTTATACTATAAAAGTCTTCGGCACGCAATTATCGGAAGGCATCAACTCTTTCATAAGTTGACATAAGCCGTCGTAACACCTCTTCGAGAAATGATGCTCGGACTTGAGATGCAACGGACGAGACATTGCTGATAATTGCGAATGATTTTTTGACCCGGGCCATATTTCTCTATTCCATGCATCTAATAAATCGTAAAACGCTTATGCAGCGAGGGTTTGGGTCTTCGTCTATATTAGACGGATTAAAAGATGGACCAGCTGCATCCATCACCATTATGTGGTATCGATTGACTTGACGATCATCAAATATTTATTATTGCTCAACATAATTAAACGAATTGACATTGTTGACTAAATCACTCTCTCTATGACGTCTCCACACATAATGCCTAGACACAAACTCATATCTCAAGCAAATGATACTTAACGATATCGGGGTTTTCATAACTACGATTTTGATATATTTTTTTTATAAAGACATCGTATCTTATTTCCATCCATGCACTCTAAATGACTAACCGCAAAATTAATAAATTCATTAACCCCTACGAAATGCTCATTTAATAGTCCATCGGTTAATCTAAAGTCAATCCAAGAACGATCCGAATTCATTTTAAACAAAATAATTTTTAAATTACTAATTAATTTTGTAATTACTTAAAAAAACTTTATTACTAAATCTCAAATTTGTTTTTTATTTTTTAGAAACTAGTTATTTTTTTACCGAGTAAACATTAAATATATTTCTAATAACTTAATTTTTTATGTACTTAATATAATTTTGAAAAAACTTAATTTTTTTCAAAAATAATTAATATTGTAATTACTTAACTATTTACGTTAATGAACAACTAAATAAGGTTAATTACTAATAAATTTTAAATTTACTAAATTAATATATATTACAATTCAAATAATATTTCATTCAATTAATTAAATTCGTAATTACTTAATTAATACTTTAACTTAATGAATAACTAAATAAGCTTAATCACTTAATAATTTTTTTACGGATGTACTAAATCTAAATTCAACAAGCTAAGTTTATATTAATTTTTTTAATACAACTTAATCTTTTATCTATTGAATATAGTTCCGGAAAAACTTAATTTTTTTCTTCTTAATTAATATTGTAATAACTTAACTATTTAACTTAATGATCAACTAAATAAGCTTAATTACTAATAAAATATAAATTTACTAAATAAATTAATATTACAAATTAATAAACATTTAATTTTTAATTATATTTGTAATTACTTAATCAACACCTTAACTTAATTAATAAACCACTAAATAACCTTAATCACTTATTAATTTTTTTAATAACGTACTAAATCTATATTCAACAAGTATATATTCATTTGTTTAATACAAATTATTTTTTTAATTAATAAGTATTTCAAATATTTCTAATAACTTAATTTTTTATCTATTGAAAATAATTTCAAAAAAAATGATATTTTTTCTTCTTAATTAATATTGTAATTACTTAACTATTTAACTTAATGAACAACTAAATAACCTTAATTACTAACAAATTTAAAATTTACTAAATAACAATATATTATAATTTAATTAATATATAATTTATTGATTAATTTTGTAATTACCTAACGAGTTAACTTAATGAACTTCTAAATAAACTTAATAATGTATTCAATTAATTTTTTAATCACTTAATCACAACAACTTAACTAAATTACCAATTAGCAATAACACTAATAACAATAACAATAACAATTAAAGTAACAACATAAAATAATAACAATTAAATTTTCTAACTAAAACAATTAATAATTAATTAAACTAAGTAAATTCATAATTAACAATCAAATTAGTTCAATCAACTATTAAAAATAACAATAACAATAAAATTAACAATTAACAATAATATTCAATTAATCAAGAATTAACAACAACATTAACATAACAATTAACAATTAATATTAAATTAACAATTAAACATTTAAATTAACTATCACAATTAACACTAATTAAAATCAATACATTTTTTAAACACATAAACTATCTAAATTAACACATTACAAAAATATTAATTAAATAATCAATTAAAAAAAAACACATGCAATAAACAACTATAAGTAATTAAACTAACAAATATAAGTAATTAAACTAATAATTTTTTTAAAAAATAAATTAAATTATTTTACTTAACTAAATAACTGGAAAAAATTAAAAAATTAAAAGGAGGGGTTAGATTGGAATGGACCTTTCACCAAGAGAAGGAGGAGAAAGGGTTGCGTCGGTGGAACCCTTCGCCGGACCTGTTTGGTCGGAAAACGACCGGTGGAGAGATGGAGAGAAAGAAAGAAATGAGGAGGAAAAGAGAGAAGAAAGGAGGAATTTTTTAGGGGAGAAATGTTACGAGGAAAGTGAGGAGAAGATTGGACACACAAAATGGCAAAGGAGGCGGATCCGAGTGCCGCCGAGTAGAAGAAGAGAGGTGGAGAGAGAATTGAAACCGCTCATTCTCGGGGAGAATGATAGTTTTAAAAGGTAAAGGTTTTAGACCGTTACTAAAACCGTCGTTAATATTAATTTCGAAATCAAAATTTGATCTGTTTCCCACCAATGGTTTAATTTTACCGACGATATCCCGACCGTCGCAAATGTTGTTTTTGCAACGGTTATTTTTAAAAAAGTAGTTGCAAAAATTAGTTTTAATAGTTATTTATTTTTGGTTATTTTTTAGCAACGGTTTAGCGACGATCCATGACCGTCGCTAAACCGAGTTACTTTGCAACGGTTTTTTATTAAAAAACCATTGCTAATTGAAAATAATCTCCCCAATGGAACCGATTTTTAGTAACGGTTTAGCGACAATCTCCAAACCGTCGCTAAACCGAATATTTTTGCAATGATTTTATGTTTAAAAACCGTTGCTAATCGAATTTTTTTTTTCCAATTCAACTCATTTTAACAATGGTTTAGCGACAGTCTATCGATCGTCGCTAAACCTTGATTTTTTTCCAACGGTTTTTACCAAAAAAACCATTGCTAACTCATTTGTTACTTTTAGCAAGGGTTTAGAGATGGTTTTCGAATCGTTGCTAAACCGATTTTTTTTTTGAAATGGTTTTTTGGTTTAAAAACCGTTGCCAATCATCTAGATTTTTTTTTTTTTTAAGTTTTCTCTCTTTAGCAATGGATTATCGACGGTTTGTAGACCGTTGCTAAACTTGCAACCCTTTTTTCATAAAAACCGTCGCAAAAACGATCCGCATGTGTATAAAAAGTTAAACTCGTCAAGTTAGCAACGGTTTGGTTAGACCGTTGCAAAAAAATAGTCGCAAATTGGAATTTTAGTAACCATTTTTTGAACCGTCGCTAAATCGCTTAAAACCGTTGTAAATTTTGAAAATTAGCAATGATTTATTGACCGTTGCTAAATACATGTCACAAATTCATCTTTTTATTGTAGTGGTTATGGATATTGGTGGTGAGATTTTGCATACAAAGGAGAGAAAGAGAGAGGTGGTTTCTGTAATCACATGTGCTTGGATATTGTTCAACGAAATCGGCTAATTTGATTGCAAATCAAAATATAATTATAGTATTCGAATTGAAAAAAATTTAATTTGAGATACCAATCTACGGTTCAATGCATAATACATGATATTAATTATCAAATCAATTTTTTTTTTACTTCATTACTTTATTGGGCATGCATATCTTCACCAATCGATTGAATTTTATCTCTCTCGGTCCCGGTCAATCTAGCATTGTATATAGCATTATGTTTGACCTAATTTTGTTTTTAGTTGTTTTCAATCACAAGCTGGACTAGATCAACCCAAGTGTTTATGTTGAGTCCTGTGCCGAATCCAAGTATTGATTCGAGAATGTTTGCTCGGAAGGGATTTGATTATTTTATTAATGCCGAAGAACCTGGTATAGAAACAGCACGTGGCTTGACATGCAGTGGGTTGAAGTTTGGATGCATCGAAATTTCTGACGATAAAAAGAAAAAAAAAGAAAAAAAGAAAAAGAACAACCGGATTGCCTCTTTTAGCATGTAAGTTTTCTTTAAGAATACAAGCATGAAAGGATAGTAATGATACGTCAAATGGGTTACCAATTTCTCCATGAGAGAATTATATATGTACTATGAAGACATGATGTTAAATGGCTAAGAGTCATCCCTGATTAGGAGACAAAATTTGGGAAGAATATGACAAAATTCAGGGAAACGATTCCCTATAGTTTAGCTTTGATGACAAGTTAATATTGATACCAGAAAATTAGATAAACAAAAATATCCTCTTCAAAGTAATCTCAATCCTCTCAAGCTCTTAGCAGTAGCACTAGAAACCATGAAACCCACACCCAAACACACGACCCAAACCCCAACATCGATAGCCCATCTAACACCCTCCAATTCCATCTCAACCTTTTCACAATCTAGCCCACACCCCTCTTCCAAATCTCCATCGTACATTCCCCTTCCCTCACGATCACAGCAGCATCCACCGTCCGATTCATCCTCAGCTACCTCTCTCTCTTCTGGAATCACCTCCAGCTTACCACAAAGGCCTCTTTTGCTCTTCCTTTTCTTCTTCACCACCCTCTCACTCAACGCCACATGTCCCTCCAGTGCCACGCAAACCTCCACTACACCCACGTCACCACCACCGCCACCACCACACACCAACTTCCACTTTTCCACGTCATCAATTCTCCTAAATACACCCTCCAAAACCCTCTCTTCACTCAAATAAACCTCAAACCGAACCCCTTCCCTGACCCGAACCCGTTCTCTTGACCCGAATACAAACTCTCCATCTTCCTTTTTCTCCACATTAACAATCCTATGAAGAACCAAGAACGCTTTAGACTCGGGTCGAATCTTGGACCCATCAATAACAAGATCATTAGTGGTCCGAGGAAGATAAACGAGAATGAGTGTAGACGGTTCCGGTTTGTTGAGTCTGAAACCAGTGAACCGGACGTAAAAAGATTTGATCTTTAAGTGGTTTTCTTGGTTTCTTGATGGTAATAATAACCCATCAAAATCTGTGGTTCTGCACATTGTGTTTTACTTCGAGTAAACTAGAAGGAAGAAGAAGTTGTGAGGTTCAAAGAAGAGATACTTTATATATATATATATAGAGAGAGAGAGAGAGAGAGAGAGAGAGAGAGCGTGTTTATTAATGGTGGCTACGAGGAGGAGAATTCTGGGGGTGAAGGGCACGCGGTTTTTGTCGAAATTATAGGGCTAAAAGACAGGAAGCCTTTTTATATGTATGGGTTTTTGTGCCCTTTACGCTACAGGATTTATTGATTTGTTTCGATCCGCATGCAAATTGCAAGGTGTTGCTAGTGTGTGATTCTTTCTGGTGTGATGTTGTAGTAGAGGATTTGGTTGGAACATGATAGTTCTAGCAATGAGCACCGTTGATTTGGAGTGATGGATGGGCTGATCTGCGATGTATGGTGAGAGATGAGATGGAGTTTGTTGATTGGGGTGGTGTATTTGGTCATATTTGTCTATTGGATTCTTAAGTGGGTCCTGAAAAAAAATTCGATTAGATCACTTTATAAAATATCACCTACATGACAAATTGTTGTAGGAGTAGGACTGTTAATCTGATGGAAGCATGGTAAATTTACGTTCGATTTATTTGCATCCAATGAGATCTTATAATTTCAAATTTAGATTTTATAATTATTGATCCGAATTCTAATGTACTCGGGTCAGCTTTGGATATTCATAAATTTGTCATTCAATTTTTTTTTTTAATGTTGATTATATTCAAAATTATGCTTCAATATAAAATAAATTTCAATTAATGCATTTATATAAATAAAAAAAAATTCGATATGTCCATTTTTTTAAAAAAAAATCAAATGTTTAGTCATAAAAAAAATTAAATAATTCCAATAAAATTTATATAAGGTAAAGATTAATTTAAATTAGACAAGAAGCATGAAAAAAATTAATTAAAATAATAAAAATACATACTTTAATCACAACTTGATTGTTATAGAAGAAAATTCTAGTATTTTATTAGTAAAAAGTTTGAAAAGAATAAAAATTTAGATTGAATCAAGGTTTTATAAATTAAAAACATGAGTATAATGCTAGTAACAACTCATTTATTTATATATTTTTCATACGTTTATAGGATTTTTTTCAAAATTAAACTAAGGTTTGAAAAATAATAAAAAAAGCTTATCATGTAATTGTTTGAAAGTATAGTCTTTATGTAGAGAGGAAAAAAAAAGAACAGAAGTATAGAAAATTTCAAATCTAGTGCTATATTTTAAAAATATTATATTTATTATAATTAATATTAACATTAATTTCGAATCGGATTTTAATTGAAAGGTATAATATACAGATTTGGATCATAAGTGATTTAATTACATTGAAATAGTATCACAATCGAAAAATCTAATTCGTTAACAGCTTCATGTACGAGAGAGATGTCATTTGATGATGCTTACATAGGTTCCAACATTAAAATGGTGAATCGCATCATTATAATAAATTCCACATCATTGATGATTTGAGTGAACAAATAATAAATTTTACTTATGTTATATTCTCTCTTAGTTAACGCACCAACATTATATACAACATAAATGCCGTAAGACAAATACTTCCCAGTCTTTTATGATTCTAAAAGACAACATTTAAGAGATTAATTGGATAATGTCCAGCAGATAGGGATGCAATTAAGAATTGTTTTTGTTTGGCGATCCAATTGTAAATTCTGTGATAGTTAGGGGTTAATATGCCTTTTGCTTCTTTTTTTTTTTTTGTTACATGCAAATTTTGAACAACTTGTCTGGTGCTGTATAAAACCGTTGTCTGGTGCTGTATAAAACCGTGGCTGCCCCCTCTCTCTGATGTGTTTGTTTTTATCTGAAATAAAATTGCGCGATTCTTTTTCTTTTTCTTTTTCTTTTTTTCAATCATACAGATTAAATATGATTTTTTTTTCTTTTTTAACAATGTACTAATTTTTATTTATTTTTTAACAGTGAATTGAACTGAGGTCCTTCTTCGGCTGTAATTTAAATTTATGATTATAACTCCACGAACAAAACCTACTTACCTCCACACTTCAAGATAGCAAAATATTTAATCCATAAAATTTGACCAAAACAGTAATCATCGGATCAATTCCCTGAGAATTTAGGCTAGATAGAAGTGGGTTTGGCGATGATGACTGCTAGCATGTCATCTTCCACGTGCATACAAGTGCCGGCTCAAGGCATAGACCATTAAGGCCTATGCTTAGGCCCCCTGTAGAAAAGGAGGTCCCAATTAAAATTTTACTCTAAACTTACATCCATAAAAAATGAGATAAATTAAAAGATGCAGCCTCCCTATAAGTATGAGACACCATTCTTTTCTCTATTAACGAGTCATAGGTACTAAAGTTCCTACATTGAAAGGTTCCTATTGTTCCGAGATATTATTATTTCAACGTCAAAAATTCTATCTTTTCTAGATGTCTTTTCAATTACCTTCTACTTATAAAAGCTTTCAATTTTTATTTTAGTGAGACATTTTTACTTATAGAAAAGTTTCAAAAAAATATTTGTGAGTGAAATAATTTTTAGATCTCCAAATTTTGTTATTATATTCCTTTCTTTCTCCAAACAATGAGGGATCTTTTATAAAACCTTTTCGATTAGCTTGCGTGAAGAATCGAAGGTAATATTTTAATTTATGCAAATAAAATTATGTATATAAATCATATAATATTTTATTTTTTTCTCAAATTTATTTTTATTTTCCGAGGTGATTCTATCTAGGTTTACTTGATTAGGTGTGGCAAGCAAATATAATAAGGTGCGGCAAGCAAATATAATAAGGTGCCAAAGTTTCTTACTCTTTTTATAATTATATTTTAATTTTATTATTTGAATAAAATGTCTACTAGAAAGTATGAATCTGGATATGAAAAACATAAGAAAAAAAAAAGAAAGGTAGAAGAACTAATTCAATCCCAAAAAGGTGTACTTGATAGATTTATTACTAATATTAAACCCTAAATACTAGAAGAACAAGATAAAGATTTAAATGAAAATATAGTTGAAAATTGTCAAGAAAAATATTATTTTGCCTAGGGTCACATATATTATAAAGCCGACCTCGATTACATATTTGTATTTTATTATCTTACCGGCAATTGGCAAACAGATTGCTACTTACGAGATTTGTTAATATAATCCAAACCTTTCCTTTTTGTTGAAGTAAGGAAGAACTAATTAGAGAAACTTCCTTTCTAGCTAACATGAGAAACACCGGACATGTACGCGTGTAGAAGGTTACAAAGGCATAGAGGTATTTCTATTTTGAACTTCTTTTAAAAGTTTTAGGTAATTAATGAATTGCTATATAAGATTAATTATGTCCCACATGATAAATTTATCTAGAATGATACATTGAATGTAAACCATATTGTAAATTATATTTAAAGTGTATCTAATTAATTAAGATACATATATTAATTTGATACATGTATATATGTAATTATGATGTATAGTTAAAGTGTATCTAATTAAATAAGATACATAGAATTAATAATAATACATGTATAGTTAAAGTGTATTCAATCAATTACGATACATGTATCTCGTTAATTATGATACAAGTAATTAATAATAATACATGTACAAGTCTTGATGGGAGACTTGGGTTAAAACTATAAAAGGAGGAGTTGGTTCTCTCTTTGGCTATTAATGAAAATTATATATATAAAAAAAAGATTTCAATTTCCATCATTAAGTGAGAGATCAAAAGAGAGAAATCATTTTTTGCATATTATCTACTTCATAGTATTGATCAAGTTTTAAGCATGAATCAAGGTCTAAACATGAATCAATGTATGTTTTCTTTTAAATTATGTGAAAAGCATGAATTTCTAAGATTTATAAGTATGATGAATTTATGTCTTTTACTTTGCATAATTGTTAATTGTGGTATTCATGATGATGAAACTTATGTCTTATTGATTTATCAAATTATATTTAAAACTTTCATATGATATCGAGCTTAGTTTAGGAACTCATGTTTTTCCATTTAAGATTATAGATTTCTCTCTTATTTGTGATTTTAGAATTCAAACTATGAATGCGAATTGATTACTCGTGACAAATTATAGTTTTTTCATATTGGAGTATACATTTTTGCGTGTAGAAGGTTACACTTTAACTATAGTAAAATATTTAATCCATAAAATTTGACCAAAACAAGTAATCATCGGATCTATTCCTTAAGACTTTAGGCTAGATAGAAGTGGGTTTGGCAATGACTGCTAGCATGTCATCATCCACATGCATACATATTTGTATTTTATTATCTTACCGGCAATTGACAAACAGATTGCTACCTATAAGATTTGTTAATATAATCCAAACCTTTCCTTTTTATTGTAGTAAGGAAGAACTAATTAGAGAAACTTCCTTTCTAGCTAACACAAGAAACACCGAGACATGTCCGCGTATAGAAGGTTACAAAGGCATAAAGGTATTTCTATTTTGTACTTCTTTTAAAAGTTTAGGTAATTAATAAATTGCTATATAAGATTAATTATGGCCCACATGATAAATTTATCTAGAATGATACATTAAATGTAAAACATATTGTAAATTATATTTAAAGTGTATCTAATTAATTAAGATACATATATTAATTTGATACATGTATATATGTAATTATGATACATGTATTGATTATGATACATGTATAGTTAAAGTGTATCTAATTAAATAAGATACATAGAATTAATAATAATACATGTATAGTTAAAGTGTACCTAATCAATTACGATTCATGTATCTCATTAATTATGATACATGTAATTATTAATAATACATGTACAAGTCTTGATGGGAGACTTAGGTTAAAACTATAAAAAGAGGAGTTGGTTCTCTCTTTGGCTATTGATGAAAATTATAGAACAAAAGAAAAACTAAAGATTTCAATTTCCATCATTAAGTGAGAGATCAAAAGAGAGAAATCATTTTTTGCATATTATCTACTTCATAGTATTGATCAAGTTTTAAGCATGA